CTATTCATCCCAGCAGGATTGTGCTCCTGCCCGGCTGTGCCTCCAATTGTTTGGGTGCTCCAACCCTTTCCAAACCCGGATTTTTTGCTGTCAGAACACAGAATATATTCACTGATTTCTCCTGGCCTTTGGGTTTGTTGACATTTAATATCCTTCCACTGCTCCCAGACACTGCCCCTGCTCTGCCTGGACATCTCCTGTTGGGCTTCTCTTCATTCACTGCCCTGCAGTGGCTCTTCCAGGCCAATCCTCCTGGTGAAACTCAGTTTAGTCCAGTAAAGACCAGCACTTGCTGATGTCCTGTTCCAGTCTGACTGCAGGCACCCCCTGGCACCAGCCCAGGGAGGCTGGGAGGGATGGAATGTGGGCACGGTACCTCCTGCTGGCACTGCCAGCTTGGCTGGGGAGGGACCTGAGGGATCATCCAGTTCCAACCCCCAGGCCATGGGCAGGATCATGTTCCACTATCCCTGCTAAAAAAACCCCGCTCCATCATGCCTGGAATAGGAGCCACTGGCTGGATATCACCGGGATTCAGAGGAAAAGAAGGAACCAACTTCATTTCACCCAATTCTCACTCAAACCTGCTCCGCTCCCCAGCACGGGGGGACAAAGGGAAACGTTTCAGTGTCCCCCTGGACATGGTCAGACATCCCAGGAGGGATGGCACAGCTCGGGAAACAGGCTCTGCTCAGCTGGTGCTGGCAGAGGCTCTGCTGGAAAACACCTGCTCCCTCTGCCAGGGGTGAGATTTTGGGATCACCGGTGCCTTTCCAAAACAACGCTGTCCGTTACCACAGGATGGGAAACTGCCCCTTTATCTGGGTAAAAGGGACCAACAGACCCAAACCCCACAGCAAATTAGGACACAGAGAGTTCCTGAACTTGTTCTGGAGGAGAGAATAAGCAGGAATTTGTTTCTGGCCTGGAGTGACTCCTGGATGTGGTTTCTGGAGGGAGGCACTGGGGACCAGATTTGGTCACGCAAACTGGAAATCCCTCCAGGTTATGGGGAAGGTGAAGAATGAGTCTGCAAAGTGAATCCCTTCTCCATCAACAAGAGAAATGAAAGGCTCTGAAATGGCTGAGACAACCCTGGAAGAGCTGGATTTAATTACTGCAGGACGTGGAAAGCAGGGGAGAGAGGCAGGTCAGGAGCACAGAGAGGGCTCTGGCCAGAGGGTGACACTCCCTGGCTCGTTGGGGATGACACCTGGCAGATAAAAGCAAAGGCTGAGCACAAAACACGAGGTCTGGGGGGATATTCAGGTTCAGGCCTTGGTGCCACCCGAGCTTTCAATTTGCCTGAGCCAGCAAAAACCACAAATTTTTGGTTTACTTTTCCTACACTGAAACACATTTCAGCAGCTCATGATCTACTGCCTTTGCTTAAGTGCATTTAATACAGAAAGGCCTAAACATTTGCAGAAGAAATATCCTGGCATCTGTTAGCAAAAAGTCCTGTTGGATGGGGAAGTAATGGAATGTTAAGTGCTGATAAATAACAAACCAGGATTTTTAAATGAAGCCTTTTAAAAATTGCAAGGGGACTGCTTCAAATGGGCCCTTGCTTTCATTTTTCTTTTCTGCCATCTCTCTACAGCACTTAAAATTATTAAAAAGCTCCCTCTAAATGTATATTTAAAAAAAAAACCAAAAACTCAACAGGATGAGGCTTTGCACTTCCATTTGTTTCCAAAGTGATTTTTGGTTGCTGTGTTATAAAACTCTTCAGAAAAGATTTCAGATGAAAGCCCTGACAAACCACTGAGAATTAGTGAGCACCACAGCATTTGGGAGCTCCTGGAGGGTTACACAATCATAGGATCATGGAATGGTTTGTGTTGGAAGGGCCCTTAAAAGCCTCATCTCATCCCACCCCTGCCATGGGCAGAGACACCTTCCACCAGACCAGGCTGCTCCAACCTGGTTCTGCAACATCTGCTCAGGAATTTTCCTTAAAAATCTCTTCCAGCACCAACTGCAGTTTCTGTAAAGTGACATTTTTTTCCCTTTTCCCCTCAAGGAAATGCCAGTATTACTGATTTCTTCCTTTATTTTTGCTTGGAAACACCTCAGTGAAATGCCCCATTCAAACAGAACTGAAGCTGTTGGTTTAATCAGCCCAAAATCCATCCTCTGGCATCACCCAGACATCAAACATCATCCCACAGGACTTGTGGTCCTAAAGCTGATGCTTTAAAAGTGTGAAGCCTTGGGAAGCTGGGTGAGAGGATGACACAAGACACCATGGATGTCTTGCAGACAGGCAAAATTTCTAAATCCAGCAGTTTGCAGCACCAAGGGTTGGGGTTTTGGCATCGTGGGGGTACCCCCTTGCCCAGGCAGGGTCCCTAAACCCCCCTGGTGCCATGAGGCCACTCCTGGCACCCTTTTTAGCTTGTTCATGGGCTCTCTGGATGGAAGGTTCCACGGAAGCCTCAGGATGAGCCAAAGCCAAGCAATATTTACCACCCCCATGACAGATGAATTCTGCTGCTGCAGGAAAGCACAGGCAGGAAACGAGCCCTGCCAATGACCAGAGGAGGGAAGGGACAAGTTAATGCCTCTATCATATATATTCCAGTGGCCTTTAAATGCCATTTGGATTTGGTTCTGCTTTTTGGCTCCTTTGAGTGCTCCCAAGGGCCCTGAAGTAGGAAAATTACCACAACAAAGCATCATTTTACTGAAAATATTCAGTGGGTTCGACAGCAGAAGAATTAAGCTGGGGAATGCAAAATTATTCCTTAAATTCAGGTGTGCCTGTGTGGCTGACATCCATGGAAAGTGCACATGCCAGTCCCAAAGCCACCCAAGCACTGACACATCCAGAGACATCCACAGCAGTGGGGTATCAGAAGATCCTGCAAACGGGGTCAAACTGCTGCTCCAACACGTTGTGCCTTCTCAGCAGCCTCGGGTTCCAATAAGATAACAGCCCAGCTTCCCTTGTTTTCCAAAATAACCCGAGATTATTGATGTGCTGCCAATGTTTTAGCAGGGAGAGTTCACCACATCCCACCCTGTCCCCAGTCTAGGATGAGCACCATGGGATCAGGGTGGGGACCCCAAACGGGTTGAGCGCAGATGAAGAGCCCAGGAGTCGATTCGTTGTTTTTCCATCTTAAAGAAAACACTTGCCTGTAACTGTAACCAAGAAGAGAGGCAGCCTCTCCTTTCTTCATGTTTGGCAAATAAACCCCTGTTAAGGGCACTTTGTTGGAAATGTTTGTACTTTTATTTATTCTTTAAAAAAGACAGGGAGTAGGTTGAGAGCACAACATTTGGCCTATCTGAGCTGGTGTGGGGAAGGATAAAGGCCTCTGTGTGTTGCTTTGAGAAATGGGCCTTGGAGGGCAGCAGGAATAAATATATTGCTCTGGGGATGTTGTCTTTCTCATCAACACCAAAACTGTTATGTTCCATGGGGGAAAAGGCTGGGATTTTACTTTTTTTTTTTGTGATCTCTACAGATTGGACAGTGACATCATGGGTCAACCTAGAGCTTCCACTTCTCCAGATTCCAGTTTTGGCTATAGCTAGGAGAAAAAAACCGCTCCTTTTAAAAGAAAAACTCCAAACAACCCCCAAAACAAGTGGTGACTGAATAACTGCTCACTAGAGATGCTTTTGGATTCAATGGCAACCACAGATGGATACGAAGCGGGAACCACTCCAATGGTTTAGAAGGATGGACCCCACAGAGGGCAGAAATAGCATTCCCAGTCTCCTGACAGATTAGAGGTAACGTTATTAGGAGTTCTCCCAGCCCTTGAAGTTCCCAGCAGCTGAAGAGTTTTGTTAGGAGCATTTAATTAAACCAATAACTCTGGAGAGAAAGCAAACATCCCAAGCAGGCACAGCCACCACGTTCTGCCTGAATGCTGCGAGAGGCACACGAGTTTTGGGTTAAGATTTATGTTGTGTTTAATCTTCTAGGAGTCACCAGTTGCCTCTCTAATGGGTTTGCCCAGCTCTGGTAGTTCGGAAGCTCAGACAGAAGATGTTAATCTGCAAAGGGTTTCAGTGAGCTCCTTCTAATCTGTGTCAGCACCCCCGGGCCTGCCACATCCTTCTTTGCCCCGCAAAGGGCGATTTCAAAGCCGAGGTGTTGGTTAATGGGTCCCCACTGAGAGCTCTCAGCCACGCATGACAATGGGTGTGAAAGTCTCGTCTCCCGGGACCAGGATTTCCATGAATCTCCCCAGGGATCAGGATTTCCTCAAAACCATCCCGAAAATGTCCAAAGCCACGACTAGATTTCTGTGTGTAAACTTACTGGTGATACCAGTGGATTTTACATCCTGAGCCCTCCGCCAGCTGCAACACTCAGGGACACCCGATGTCTTTGGCCGCCCCTTCACCATTTACCCACATTTTTTGTCTCTTCAGCAGCTAAACAAGTAAAATGGACCTTTGGCCACGAGGAGCAGGAAACATCTGCCCCGACACCGTTTTCAATCCGAATCCACGCTCCTGTTTTTAGGTTTGATTAAACCGTGAGCTCTCCGAGGCTGAGGTTCTGCAGCCCGCAGTTGGGCTGTTACATGAGATATTCAGGAAGTTATTTGCATGGCTGGATAAAAGCCTGTGGCAGCAGCTGGTGCTGCAGAGGCGACTCCGCGGCCACCAGCCCAAGGAATAACATCGGCTCCAGCTTCACAATGAGTTGTTTACTGGCCTTGGCTGCCTGTGGGAACAGCCAAGGAGAGCGGAGGAAGAGGAGAGACAAACACAATGCGAGCGAGACGCGTTAGGTGGGAGGCTGGGCTTTAGCAGCAGCCCCGGGATCTCAGACCTATGGAACCAGAGAGGCTGAAAATGAAATAAAGGAGCACCGGGGCTGCAGCAAATGAAGCCGCTGAGCTGCTCCTGCTGCCAGAAGATCCTCGTGCCCAGTGGAAGGGCTGATATCGAAGGTAAGAGAGAAAAATAAACAGCTTTTAGGCGGGGGCTCTGCTGGGGGGGAGCAAATTCACCGAGCGGCTCCCAGGGGAGCTCACAGGCGGACACAGCCACGCTTCCCCGGAGCATTTGGAATGATGACCCTGGAAGTGGAAAGCTGACCGGTTTTCCAGCAGGAATCCAGAGTTTTCACAGCGAGCTGCTGGGGAAAAGAGCCCAGACTGCTTTAGTCAGCTCCTTTGAGAAGATATAACACCACCCCCCTACAACGAACCCCAGCCTAACAAGCAAGCCCTTTCTAAATCCCTTTAGAAAGATACTTTATTTTTACGGCCAGCTTTGCTCTGCAGCTTCCCAGTCTTACCCACTGCTTTCCCGATTCCCAGCTCCCCCCTCTCCTCCTCACTTTTTTAATTGGAAGGCAAAACAATTGCAGCCGTGGAAAGGAAAATCCGAGCTCTAAGGCGCTTTTCCCACCGGGCACGCTCTCCCAGGCCGGGTCCACCAGCTAATTGCTCAGGAAATCCGCGCTGCTCATTGTCGGGCTGTCCTTAAACTGCTAATTCCGAACTGGGAGAGGCTCTGGAAGGGAATCCAGGGCTAGAGCCCCGCGAGAGGGACCCACAGAGCCCCGCCGGGGGCGGGCTCAGCGCTAATAACACATCCCTGCCCAATGGAAAGCGCTTCCTATGGAGACCCCCAAGAGTTCCCCCTGCCCAGACTTCGGGGCCATTCCTGCGTCCCGTTTTCCCAAGACACGATGGCAGAGCTCTGCAGCGCCGATCCCCGTCGGAACAAAGGCCGGGAAGCAGCTGCCACCCACCGCGGGGCTTAGGGATGAAACTCGGGCAGTCCTGGAGGTTTTCCGCGTGGGAATAACGCGGCCCGCGTTCCACAAAGGATCCATGGGGGCTGTCAGGGCGGGATCGCGCTGAACCGCCGAGCCCTGGCGATGCTGCCGCCCCGGTAAGTCCCTGCTCCCAACCCTTCCCAGCTCCGGGAAGAGCAGCCGGATCCCAGGGCAGGGCTGCGGGGTTCCTAAAGCCGAGGCTCGGGTGGATCTGGGGGGTGAGAGCAGCCGGGATTAGCGAGGTTTGTCCTGCGCTGGCTGGGACGGGAAGGGCGGCCGGCTCCGCTCCAAGGGGGAAAGATGAGCTCCAAATTTTGGGAAAGTGATTGCTGTGCGAGCCGCTCCTGCAGCCCGGCAGGGCGGTCGGTCCAGCTCACCCCGCAGCTCGCACCGTGGCACCGCAGATGACAAGTTAAGGACTTTTCTGTGCCGTTGCTTCTTTTGTGTCTGTGGAAAAATAGCCCTTGGTTGCGGCTTTCTTTTGTACTTGAACTCAGTATCGTAAAGACACTTCAGGCTTAAAAAAGGGGTTCTATGCAAATGTGGCGTGAGCGCAGACTTTCAGCTTGCAGTGATACGTGTTTTCAGCTTCGTGTAATGGAGAGCTGGTTCCTATAAGCTATGTTAAAATTAGGAATTAAGTTGTAAATTTTTATACCGAAAAAGTGGGAAAAAAATTATCACTTTGGCTTTAATTTATGCCTAAAATCTACCTCTTTTAAGCTGCAAAATTCAATGAGGAAAAAATCAAATACAACTCTAAGCAGATAGAAAAACTGGTGTCAGAAGTAAAATGAATGATGAACACATGATTTAAAGATTCAGCTGTTTAGAAGAAAGGGGATTTAACACAATATAAGCCCACTGGAGAAGAATTTGCAGGAAAAGTTTAGATTTTTAATGACATTCCCTAATCTTTGTTTGAGAGGAGACAGTTGTGTGTGGTTTTTGTATTGCTGCCCTACATGAGCAGAACAGTAAAATCCAGAGGATGGGAAGTGCAAAGTTCACAGCTCGGTGATAAGGATATTCCCCCCTCAGAGCACTTTTCCATCTTCTTTCCCTTAGGAGCATTCCCAAAGCTGAAAACAAGCCAGGCAGGAAACCTTGGTGCTTTGGGGGGTTCAAAGTCTCTGGATTTTAAAAGAAAATTCTGAAAACACATGGGAGAGAGGGAGAGAGGAAGGGGGTGGGAAGGGAGGCTGAGCACACACTTCTAAATGACTGAAAATGAGAATCCTCCTCGGCTGATAAAAGTCAGTGTCTTTCAAATCCTGGAGTGGGGAGCTCTGGCCAGACAAACACAAGAAACTCCTGAACTCCCCCCCAGCTCTCATTCAGAACATCCTAACGAGGCACAGAAATGTGCAAACCTGCAGCTGAGACTGCCGAGGAGCTGGGATGGAAACATTCCCTGTGCAGGGAGAGGATGCACTCCCAGCTGTAAGATGGTTCCCTCCTCCAGCTGTGACCTCATGGCTGGAGCACCAGGGCAGGAATTGAGGCAATTTGAGCCAGACCTTGGGGCAGATCCCAAGGAAAGAGGGCGCTGGGGGAGGGTACGTGGCAAAGCACTTTGGATTCTGTTCTGCTGGTGCTGCCTTGGCACTTGGAGCGTGGCCATTGTAGCCATGGAGATTGATTCCAGTGTCCAGGATCCAGCTGTGCCAGCTGTCCCTGACTCTGCTTAAAGCGTATTTGGGATCTGGGGCTCTTTAGTGGTGTCTGAGTGTCGGTGGAGGGTGTGGTGGTCCCAGCCTGGTGGCTCACAGTGCTCCAGGATCCCACAGCAGACACGGTGAGCCAGCCCATCACAGCCTGGGATGGGTTGGGTTGGCTCCTGGAGCACTCAGCCACCCTCAGGAGGTCTTTCCAGGTCAAGTGTGCGTGCAGAGGCTCACTCTGCTCCTCCTCCCTAAATAAGGATCCGATTTAGTCTCAGGGAAGAGGAGCCACCACCTTTCACAAAAGGGAAATTCTCTCCCTGAAAAGAGGAGTTCTTTATTCCCAGAGCAGACAGCGGCTCTGCAAGGCTTCCTCCTGCACCAGCTTCCCAGTTCAGCCCCATGAAAGGGGGTAAAGATCCACCCAGCTCGGAGCCAACCCAGCCTTAGCTGACCCCAGCTGCAGGGAAGTTTGCTGAATTATTTGTGATGGGTTGGGTTTGCAGAAAAAGGAAAGTGTCTTTATCTTGGCAAGTGGAATTAAGGGACATTCATCAGTCCCTGAGCCCTGAGACAAAGGTGGGTGCTGGCAGCAGAGCAGGTTCTTTCTCTGGACAAACACCATGAGAGACCCTCTTAAGGCTGTAAATAGACAGCCACAACACACCTCATATTTTCATCTAATAATATTCCCATTTTCATGTCTTGAACCTGCAGACAAGGCACCTTCTTCCACCCCAGCCTGCGTTTTGCAAGTGGAAATGACCATATTTAGCAGTAAAAACAGCATCCATCCTTTACACAAATGTCATTCCCCTGCTCTCAACTCATAGTTAGCAATCTGATTTCTAAGAAACTTCACTGCTGAAACATCTCTTATTGGTTGGGATTCGATATTTTTGCAGTGTGAAGTCATTTCTTCCTTATTCTAACACTTCAGTGAAAATTCACCCTCTGTAGTTCTTCCTGTGCTCCCTCACACACCCTTCCATCAGACAACACAGGATATTTTTCGGGACCTGAATGCTTTTCCACACAGGTGAGGTGAGGGAGATGTCATGGAAACCCCAGTCACGCTCCAAACTCCTTGCTGAGGAACGTGTCCCAAGGGGAACAGGGAATCCAGCAGCTCCAGGAAGGGACTGGGGAGCTCCAGGGTGCAAGGAGAGACCATGGAGCAGGTGAAACCAAGGCTGGTGATGCCACATCCGTGCTCTGTCAGAGGGAGTTGTGTCCAAGTCCAGGTTGGACGGGTTTGGAGCACTCTGGGATCGTGGAAGGTGTCCCTGCCCGTGGCAGAGGGTGGGGCTGGATGAGCTTTAAGGTCCCTTTCCAGCACAAACCATTTAATGAGTCTCGAACCTTCCCTTTGCCCCACAGAATAAACCAATTTAAGAGAATAAAGCCCTATTTTACTAACTCCCTGCAGTCAATAAATGCAGGGCACAGGTCCCTCAAGGTCCTAGGCATGGATCGTGTCCAGCCCCACGGACAGACTGTCCCCAGCACCCCCAGGCAAACCAAGCACAGCCCCTCACACCCAGCCCAGCTGGCCAAGCTGAAATAGGTGTTTGTGCTGCTGGGCTGGCAGCTTGGTGGTGCTAATGGATGCAAGGAAGAGGGGAAAAAAAGCCCATAAATTTGGGATAAAGAGGTGAAAGTTCAGCTCTCCTGCTCCAGCAAAGGGGCTGCAGAGGATCCCCCTGGGTCGGACGAGGCCAGGTGAAAGGAGGGTTTCATGTGGCTGAGAAAAAGCACCAAGGAGCCAAAAAGCCAAGCAATCACCAAGGAACCACTGGAAATTGTGTCAGGGAGAGCGAAGAAAGGAAGCTTGTTGGGCAGGCCCCTGACTGGAAGGCCTTTGGAGCTGCAAGCAAATAAACCTTGGCCTGTTGTTGGAGTCCCCAGTGGTTCAGGGAAACAGGACTCGCTTATTTTTTATGTTTTTTCTTAACCACGCTTTGTAAATAAACAGGGCTACATCAAAGACACAGCAACCTCCACCACAAACATTATTCCTGGGTGAAAACGACCTGGTCAGACAGAGCAACTCTGCTTTTCATCAGCTCATCAGCTTTTCTTTGCATCTAAATCTTCTCCAGTGAATCAAGCAATGCTATTGTACAGCAACCCCCCCTCGGTGAGAGCCCTGGGGGTCAAAACAAGCAGCATTCCTGCAGCCCTCCACCGGCAGAGGCAAAGCCAAAAGCCCCTCTTACAAGTGTAAAATAATGTCAGCTTCGCTGGGAAGTTTGGAGGGAGTTCCATCGTTCTGGAAGCTGCGGTGGATGGGGAAATCAGAGCACGCCAAGGGTTAAAGGGGTGATGTAAATGGAGAGAGACATTCTCAGTGAAAACAAAAAGAGAGTCATGCCCTGAGGATCAGTGGCTGAATGTGGGGTAAGGCAGTTCACTATTCTCTTCTGAAGGAAACATTTTAATTAGCTCAATACAAAACAGATACAGCCCAGAGAAGGCACCACGAGCAGGAAATGCTTTGTAAGTCTCAGAGGACGGTGAGGAGACAACGGCGGTGCTGAGCAATTAAAAACCAGGGGAGAAAAAAAGGACAGAAAAAAGGAAAACGCCTTTAGGGTTCGCTCCGAGAGAGGCTCAGGTTTCCTCCTGCCTGCTCCATCCTGGAGGAGAATTAAATTGGGGTCCTGCTGCAATTCGTTCGCAGCAGAAGGTTGTGTTGAACTTGGAGGGTGTGAGAGGTGCCCCGAGAGCCAAAAACCACACCGGGAGAAAGGAGCGGGTCCCGGGGCTCTGCCGTGGTGGCTGAGGGAGAGGAGACGCCCCGGACTCCCGTGTTTTGGGGTTTCTTTTCTATCAAAGAGCATTGGAAAAGCTGCTGGTGAATCCTGACCGGAGCGAGTAACTCACAATTCCACCTTCCCAGCAGGTACAGGAGCCCTTGTTCCACCCGCAGCAAAGCCCGGGGAGTGTCAGCACCGATGGCACTGAAGACCCTCAGCACAATAAGTGTCAAAGCCATGAATAAGAGCCTTCCTGCCTTGTCTTTTATGCTAATCACCCGAAAACGTCCCCTTTCCCCAGCACACCGGCCGGGCATTCACTCGATAAACCAGGCAAGAATGGCTCTTTGAAGCTCCACAAACCTTCCCCGGACTTCAAAGTCACACTCCTGTCTGCTCCTGTCCTACTGTTCTCGAATACATCACTTGGGATTAGGAAATGAAAGAGATTAAAGCATTTCTCCTTCCCAGCGCTTCGGATCGTCAATAGAGCTTTGTTTACAGGCAGCTGCTCCGCTTCCCACCCTCCAATCCCACCCTTTCCCTGCTCCCACCACACCAGGGCAGGTTACTGGGAAAGGGCAGGAGGTTCTGGGGAGGATGGAGAGCTCACAGACTGGTTGGTTTAAGAGCCAAGCCCAAAACTGGTGTCCTGAGCTATTTCCCATCCGCAGACATTTCTCTGGATCCAGCATCACTTGCTCAGGCTGGTCCAGTTTTCCATAAGCCCACACTGCTGGCACTGGGAAAACAGAGCTGTCCAGAACCCTGACAGCCTCAGACAGGGGAAAATCAGCCACCAGACTGCCCCAAATTGGAGGTTTGTCCTTATATCCATTTTCAGTTAATTCTCTCCAGAGTTCTCTACAACCAAAATGTCTAATAAAACTTTTATCAGAAAGCAAAAAGTACAAGACAGTGGAGATCCCATTGCAGGAACTGAGTTACAAATAATTTTTCAGGTAGAAAAAGTTTCTTTTTCATCACACAGTTTCCATTTCATCTATTCAAACAGTTGCTGTTTATCTCATCTTTCCTGTGGTTCTCCTGCCTGGAAGAACTCAAGTCCTACAACCTTATACAGAATTATCATCTCTGCAAAAATCTTCCAAAAAAATCAAATATCCGCCCCCCCCAACAAAGTTCTTGTCAAGAGAAGGCACAAAGCACGTGCTGTGCCCGAGGAAAATACCTGTTTATTGCCAAGGTCAGGGGCTGAGACCGTGTCAAAACACAACAAGGGCTGCTGTGACCTTGAGACATCTGGGGACAAGCCCCAGAGAAACCCCCAAATTCCCAATATCCCTACCTGTGATCCTTCAGTTTTCCTATAAACACTTTATTTCTCAAGATTTAAGAGATAACCTGAGCATACAGATGATCTGCAAGAGATCCCTCAGATTTGGAAGGTTTTCACACCAGGGCTGTAGCAACCTAGCAAGAACAGGCATTGCAGTGCTTTGCCCTACCTGAAATACAGAATGGTAAAGTGGTTTTCTTTATATTTACTTAACTCAGCTTTTTAAAATATATTGCTTTACTGTTTCCCAGCAAGACAATAGCAGTGGTGCCCGTGGTGTGCATGAGGAGCATCCCACTGCTTTAATCCCCAGTGAAAAGGGAGAAAAGTGAATTTTACACTCCAAAAACTCAATCTGTAGAGTCATAGTGCAGAATTTAAAGCACATGGCTGGGTTTCAAAGCCACTTGTCAGCTTGTTTCAACCCCTCAGGGTTCCATAGGTAAACAAGCCAGGCTGTGTTTTAAAGCCCATAAGTTAACTAGACAGTTGCTGGCAGGCAATTCCCAGAGATTACCCACCAGAAAAAACTGGGATAAGACCTGGAGGTTGCCTGGTGCAGAGCAGGGAGCAAAGAATCAAGTGAGGGAGCATCTTTTCTGCTGTGTGAGGAGCAGCTGGGCCAGGCAAGGAGCACTTTGTCAGTGGGAAGGGGAGGGTTTCAAACCTGCTGTGCCAGGCTGGGTCTTGAGGAGCTGCCAAAACTGTGGAGAGCTTGGAAAGCGGGGTTTCCATCTCTGTAAGGTTTCAAAGGACACCCAGTCCCTCTCAAACCTCCCCAGATGCTGAGCCTGGACCAGGAGAGTGGCACACCTGGTTTTCACACACTTACAGGGGTCACATTTCAGCATAAACAAAACCTGCTCCTGATGGAGATAACAGGCAGTTCTGTACTGAAGGGGAGGTACAAGCCAAGAATTTAATGCTTTAGGCTGAGGGTTAAGCCAAGGAACAGCTATTCCTGTTGGAGCTCATGTGCACTTTTCAATCCAATAAGTTCTTGCTTAAAGGCATTTTAACTTTCAGGCAAGACCTTTCCTTATTTAGACTGCCACAGATCCAAAGAAAGTGCACATTTGAGATTTTACTGCTTTACTTTCCATAATTTAAATGTTTGATGTCTTTTTTTTAGGCTGTTTCACAACAGAGTACATTTGGTCATGAATTTAGCAGGAGAAACTCCTAGATGAGCACAAGCCTAAGGGATGCAAGGAGCAGTTTACTCCCCACCTGTCCCTGTGCAGTTGAATAATGAAGTCCCTGCTGTAGATAAAGCCCCAGGGTGGGATTGGTCTCCTCTGCACAGAGACATCCTGAAAGCCACAGGGTGTTCTGGGGCTCAGAGCACCCCCTCCCTTCCCTCCCCAGCCTGCAGAGAGCCAGGGAATCCTTCAGCTTGGAAAAGACCTCCGAGATCTCGGAGTCCAACCCTCCCACAGGAGATGCCTCAGGGCTCCAGTTCATCTTTGTGGGTGTCCAAAGGTCCCAAGTCACTTGAGAGCCAGCTGGGAGGGGAGATCTGCTCACCCTCCCTTCCTGCTGCTTGGCTTCACGTCCAGCTGACTGCAGGGTGTGAAGATGAGGTGCTGCCTCATCTCTGGGTCACAGCACTGCTTTAGGGAAGCCTGTGGTTCTCCAGGCATTCCCAGGTGAGGGCAGAACCGGCACCTTCCACCTGGCAAAGCCGTGGCTGTTCCATCTTCCCCAGCACTCGACATTTCACCAGCTGATTCACCGCCAGCTTGAGTGCAAGCACAACAGTCAGCCCGAGCTCTCCCAGGAGGAAAACACATGGAAAACATCTGATTTCGATCATTTGCATCCCAAGTTGTCCCAAATCCATGCTTTCTTCCCCAGTTTATTTGTTTATGTGTTGCCATTTCAACCTTTAGCACAACTCAGTGACACGTTTGCTGTTGAAACTGCGCTGTCAGAGGGTCACCCTCTGGAGAGGATCCTGCTCTTCACAAGGCTTTCAGTTCTAAGTCACAGTTGTAGCTGCAAGGAGGTTTCTTAGATTACAGGGAGATTACAAACTCTCTTTAGTATTTGGCTGGCTGTGGTTTACAAGGCAAAGGTCTCTCCCTCAGTGATCCAGCTTTGCTCCACGTTTCCAATCCATGCCCTGCCCGTGGTGCAGCTCACAGACCCTCCCTCAGCTCACAAACCCTTCCTGCTCCAACCAGGGAGACTTTCCAAGGCTTTATCCTCACAGGCACTCAAAATACTTAGAATAACAAGAAGGGAAGATCAAGACAGTTCAGAAAGCACTTATTTCCAACAAACAATGTGTTCACATCGACCCTAAAGCTTGCTGAGCTGGGACAAAGGTTTCCAACATGAGATTTCCCAAATTTCAGGTTCCCAACCTAGACAAAGAGGGGAAAGAGAAATGCAGCTGCCAGTACACCTCAAGGAATCCCTTTTTGGGAAGCATTTTACCCTTGCAGAAAGAGTCCCTCTGAAAGTAATCCCATTTTTGCAGACATTTTTAAGGCAAACAAAAAAGCGCAACGATTTCCAAAAGTGGCAAACGTGACTTCGGAAAGGGTTTTTGAGAAACATTTCTGAGGCACAACATGGCTATTTTTTACTTTGAAAAACATGTGTAAAGGATAGTCCTACTTTCAAGCAGAAAAAAGGCAAAGCAGCTCTTGGTTATCATAGGTTTGGGGTTTTCTTTCAATATTTTTGTTTCAGAAAAGGCTGAAAATCCACAGGACTTTCCTCTCTGCACAGTATTTAAAACAATCACTAAAACTCTCAGCTTCTTTCATCTCTTTTTACAGGTTTAAATGAATATTTCAGACTGTTTGATTGGGCAATATTGTGAGTCCACAATTCAATTTCTTTACAAACACTTTGGGCCAATTCCATCCCATATTTTAAATAAATATGTTTCTAACCAGCAAGCTGGAATTCTCCTTCCAGTAGGAGGATGAGGGATGAAAGGAAAGTCTGAGTGCAGCAGGTGTTGTGTTCACCTTCAAAAAATCCCCATAACAGTGGAATCTGCAAAGGCTACCCTAAAAATTAATTACTGGTCTGGTTTGCACATCCATTATTTTGGGAAGGGAAGAGAATGTGTCCTCCTGGACAACTTCCTTGGATGACTGATGGTAACTCTCTCTCTCTCCCTTAGGATGAAAGGATCCGTGATGGAGCCGTGGTAGCAGAGGGTCACTCAGCCTCCCTGGAATGCGTTCCTTCGGGAAGGGACGAGCTCACGGCCTTATTTTATGGATGTCCCTGAAGTAGACTTTGAAGGCCCCTTTGGAAGCGCACCACAGACTTGGCATGGGAAACCACAGCAACAATCATACCTGCCTGACAGATGATTCCTTCAAGTACAACCTGTATGGGGCCGTGTACAGCGTGGTTTTCATCCTCGGCCTGATCACAAACTGTGCCTCCCTCTTCGTCTTCTGCTTCCGCATGAGGATGAGGAGCGAAACCGCCATCTTCATGACCAACCTGGCGGTTTCCGACCTGCTCTTCGTGTTCACCCTGCCCTTTAAAATCTTCTACAACTTCAACAGGCACTGGCCCTTCGGAGACAGCCTGTGCAAGATTTCTGGCACGGCCTTTCTCACCAACATCTACGGGAGCATGCTGTTCCTCACCTGCATCAGCGTCGACCGCTTCCTCGCCATCGTGTACCCGTTCCGCTCGCGCACCATCAGGACCAGGAGGAACTCTGCCATAGTCTGTGCTGGTGTTTGGATTCTGGTCCTCAGTGGTGGGATTTCAGCTTCACTCTTCTCCACAACCAACGTTTCCAACACCAGCACGACCTGCTTCGAAGGTTTTTCCAAGCGCATCTGGAAAACCTACCTGTCCAAGATCACCATATTTATTGAGGTGGTGGGGTTCATCATCCCCCTGCTGCTCAATCTCACGTGCTCCTCCTTAGTTCTCCGGACTCTGCGGAAGCCCGCCACCTTGTCCCAGATTGGGACAAACAAAGAGAAAGTACTGAAGATGATCATCGTGCACGTGGCCATTTTTGTCGTGTGCTTCGTGCCCTACAACTCCATCCTGTTCCTCTACGCCCTGGTCCGGTCCCAGGCCATCGCCAACTGCTCCCTGGAGAGGTTTGCACGGACCATGTACCCCATCACGTTGTGCATCGCCACCCTGAACTGCTGCTTTGACCCCTTCATCTACTACTTCACATCAGAGTCCTTCCAGAAGTCGTTCAACATCAAAACCCAGATCAAAATGGATTCTCTTTTCAAGACAGAGACACCTCTGACCAAGACGGCGCTGCCGGCGCCGCAGGACGAGCTGAGCGACCAGGCCATCACCAACGGGGGAGACCCCACATCTGAGTCCCATTTCTAGAGAGATGTTTACACAAGGAGTCGTCCCCCATCAGCTCTTGATCAAACACCACATGTGGGAGAGCCACTCCGCAACGCATGCGTTCGCACGTGGCGTCAGTGAGGAAGAGCTGCTGGGGGACAACTGCACCCCCAGACAAATCCTCACCCTGGGATGGTCCCATCAGACTCAACAGCTCAACACGAAACATGAAAATCCCAGTGGATCTCCCTTTGGAGGTGGTGGATACACAACAACACACGCACCAACTACGGAGGAAACAGAACAACCTGAATCACAAAATGCCAACATTTGGCATTTTCCCCCCCAGCAGTTGACGTGGGATCAGTTGGGAAATAGAAAATCTAATTTTCTTGGAAATTCCTGCCAATATCTCACGGCTTCTGGAGATGCATCATCGTATGTTAACTCAGTAACTTCACACAATATGTATGTTTGCTTACAAAGGCATAATAAAAGCTTGTGGCTTTCCCTTATTCCACTGCAAGTGTGCAGCCTGGTTTTCCTAGAGACAGGAATTAACTCTATGGAGAAGTTTGAAGTGTAAATAATTGTTTTGAAAGTAGGCAAAAGAGTTGCTTGGTGACAGAAGAGAAAAATAATAAGAGAAAACACAATTAATAATGCAGTGTTGAAATAAGTTTTGGTTTTGCAAGATTAAGCTGCCTTTTAATTTATTTTAAATTTAAATGCCACCTCTAGGGAGAAGGAAAGAGTAAAATGTTCTGTTGCACCTGGGGTTTTATATCCCAGGGGATTATATATAATTATTTCTGAGAAGGGCTGGGGTATAAAATCAGCTGGAAAAGGGCCTGAAGCCCCAGAGTTCTTCCAAGGGCAAAGCTCTTGTGTGGAAACCAAGAGCAGCTGAAGGACCAGGGAGCACGGACCTCACTGGATTATGGACAATTGGTGTCAGAGCAGCCAATTAGGAGAAAATCTTGGGATTGCTTAGTGGGTTTTGCTATAGGGTCAATTAATTAAAAGGGCTCAAAGTAACCCCCCAAATGTAGTAAATCAATTTGCTGCACTCTTTTCTTAGTTGGTTACAGCAACATTGTCTTGTTTTCCAATTCATTTATTCCATTTCCTGTTATAGATGACAGAAAAATAAGGAAAGTTAACTGTCTACAATCATTCCATTTTATCAGATGGTTCAGTTCTCCAGCTATTGGTTCACAGTTGAAGCTCTGCTGACCTTCACAGGCTGATTCATTCTTAAGTGTAAGATGCATAAGTGAGGAAAACAATTTAAAGCTGACAAAGTATAAAGTTACAGCTTGTTAGATCAGCAATCTGCCTTTTCCATGGAACAGCATAAAGCTATTTCTAGGACTATGTTGCCAAAAAAAAAAAAAAAAGAGACAGAGTATTAATTGAGCAGATGTTTTCCACTCAACTGTATTTTAAGTGTCTGTGCTGAAGCCTCGTGAGATGTGAGAGCTGCACGTCCAATGTGATCACTACTCAAAGCAACAGAGGTTTAAGTGTGAAAAGAATTCAGCTGTAAAATATGTTCATGCTCTGAAGGGAATATTTATTTAGCACTGCATTCACTTTGAATAAAGAAGTCAGTTGCTTACCAAGGCTGACAGACCCCAGAAATAATCCTGTTTCAGCCCTAAAGTGTCACTTCTTGGCTCTTACTGGAGAACAGTGTCTGATCAACTCCTTACACACAGAGAGCGTGAGAGCAGCCAAAATACTCTGCATCATTACACACCCCTCAGTTCTGAGTTACAGTGAGGTTTACTGGAAACTTGCACACAGGACTGGCTGGGGAGGCTTTTGCTGTGTATGAAACCCTCAGACGAGCACTTTGGAGCAGGAAAATGTGCAGGCACGGAGAGATCGTTCACGCAGGTTGGTGGATGAGGTCGATGGGGCAGCACACGGGAGTTCCTCAGCAGCTGGGAAGGGTTTACCTCAAGCAGGAGGAGGAGCAGGATATTTCAAGAAGCTGCAATATTTGCCATTTAATCAAGGCAAAGTGTCAGGCAGTGCCCTGCCCCTTTCCTGCTAGACCCAAAGCCTTCAGGGGGACTTTTCAAATCCATATTTCCTTTGGCTGATGAGCCCCTTCCAGCACTCACCACCAAATGTCTGCGTTTCAGAGGAGCTGTTTCTGTAACTTCACATCAAAAGGCAAAGTGAGGCCAGAGGGATTTTTTTTCAGGCTTCCACCCAGGGAGGGTTTTCCATGTGCAGCAAATCATCCTTCACCCCAGGAGAAGAGGAGGGCTGTGGAGCCACCAACAGCTCTGACACATCCCAAACTGGGTGAGAGATGGGACACCCCCTTGCACTGCCCCACCAAGAAATGGTTGTTAAAATTGTGTTTAATGAGGCAAGAGCTGCGTTTTCAGGGATGGGAGAAGGAATGAGGGTGGCAAGAATTCACTAACAAGCCCCATTTTTCGGGGTGGGTGAGAGGAGGAACGAGAGGGAGAAAGATTCACTGAAAATTGAGGGTGAATTTAGAATCACAGAATCCCGAGTTGGAAGGGACTCACCAGGATCATGGAAATCCAGCTCCTGGCCCTGCACTGGACACCCCAACAACCCCAGCACGAGTCTAAAAACCCATCCTCCTATTTGCAAGAAAAACACGTGGTACATGAATAAATGTTCTTCTCCAAGGCAAACCCCTGAGTAATTCAGTGTTACAGGGGAACCTGTTTACACACAGCCTGGTCTCCGTGGGCAACATCCAACTGTCACCCTGTGAATCTTATTTTAAAGCTGCTGCTTCCCACTTGCAGGCAAGAAGCAGCAAGATGAGATTGCTGAGTTCTGTGGGGTTTGGGAGCTTTGTGGGACAGGGCTGCTCTCACATGTGGTGGCTGCAGATTCATTTGCCAGAGTCCTGCAAGACCTCATGCTCAGTGTGTGCTCCACAGACCTTCCTCTAGTTCAGTCCAAGGGAAGAGAGAAAAATCCAGCCTAGAAACCACTGTCTGGGCTTGTTAAGGAAATGTTAAAGGGGGATGGGGGGTGGAACTGTGTGGGACTGGACAAGCTCCAGCCTCTCCATCCATGGCTGGACTGTAATCCCAGCATAATGGGCGTCTTTTTTGAAGCCAAACCAGTGCCAATGGTTACAAATTTCTGTTTGCAGTTTTATGGGGCAAGAGCTGTGGTTGATATTCTCACATAAAATGTAACACTATCATCATGTGCCAAATGCTAACTGAAAAGAGCCATTATTTTGTAATTTAAGACCTTATAAATTATATGGGGATCACATGTTGACTGACACATCTGGTGGGAGAGGTCTTGACTAATCTTTTTTTTCTGGGTCAGGTACACGGAGTAAACACTCCATGGTTTGTGTATAAATAACCAGTTATGCATTCAGAGAGAGGAAAAGTAATTTTTCAGAATGTCGGGAGAGCCAGGCTGGGAGGAGAGGGTGGCAGAGAAGTGGATTCACAGTTTTTCTGGCTGAGGGGCAGCTGAGTGTTCCTCCTCCTCCTCTGAAAAAGGGCTGTTGTCAGCAAAGGCAGATGCCGCAATTACGAGTTTAAAAACAAAAACCCAACTAATGAGATGTTGATGCCTTTAGTTGAAGCTGAGACGGGACCCAGCAATGCTCAGCTGTTAAACATGCAACAGAAATCCTGGATTTCCTTGCTCCCAGCCAGCTCCCTGTTCCCACTCCCCAGCCCTTCCCACAGCATTCATCCAGCAGGAGCATCTCTGAGTGACACCACGGGCTCTGCACCAGGTGAAAGGTGCCAAGAGCTCCTGGGACAGCATCAACTCCACCAGCTTTGTACAAATCACTGCAAACTTCCAGGGCACGTCCACAAAACCAAGGGCAAAGGGGCAGCACGAGCCACTTATAAAAGCAAGGACTGGCTCTTGGGTGAGTCAGGAAGATGAAAGGCTCCTGTCTGCTCCTCCTCACCTCGCTCACTGTGGACCTACTGTGAGGATTCAGCCTTTAAGTCCCTCTAAATCTATCCCTGGGACATTCTGGGCACTCTCCCTGTGCTGGGTGATGGAGTGAGACTCTGCAGGTCCAGTGAAAGTGGCTTCTGGAGCGACCTGCTGGACACACAGGACCCTCAGCACAGGGCAACCCCAAAGCTCTGCTGTGTCCCCAAGGACAGGGTGCACAGAGTTCTCTGGGCAGGATTTAGGAACAGGAACAAAGCCCCCTCACTTCACTAAGCAGATTATGTTGCTCAGCATTAATTTAAGAAAGAGCCATAGTTTTTCCTCACAGGATTAGCAGTCCAAGCCTTGTTTCCCCCCCTAATACCAGAAGAGCTGTAAGTTTTGGTTCTGAATGCTGACCTGGAGCTCACCCCAGAGCTCAGTCTAGGCATGAGCTGGGTGTTCAGCTTCTGGCACGTTCCTAAGGGTCATAACTCAACCCCCAAGACACCAATCCATGGTTGTTCTGGCACCCCTGAAGGGAGGGTGGCCACGGGGGTAGCACAGCAGCGACTTTTAAGGCACCTCTGCAGCTCAGGTTGGTGCATCACAGAGCCCCTTTCCCAAACAAAGGGCAGGTGTGTGGGGAAGGTGGATTTTCATTTCCATGTGAATTCTCAAATACAACTCCTGAACATTTCAACTCCCTGGCTGACAACACCAGCACCTCAAAGCCATCTCATCCTTAAAGATCAGCACCAGGGCAGCATGTCTGTGGTTCAAATCACAGTTACCAAGACTGAAAAAAACACTATTTCACTGTTCAGTACAGAAAGGAACCCCCTGCACACATCATTTACACTGTGTAGCCCTCTGACATCCCCCAGCAAACAACCACCTTCCTTACTCCAAGAGCCTGACTCATACTCCATTTTTGTTTAGTTATCTGAACCTGTTTGGGTTTGCACTCCAGCTCTCAGAACACCTTCTGCTGACAGAGCAACGTGCCCTTGGCAAGGAAATAAAAACTACTCAGAACATCCTTTACAGTTATCAAGGAAGCAGCATCTGAGGAGGGACAGTTATCACCATATCCTGTTAGACAAAGCAGGGCAGATTGGGGGTGTGGATCAATCACAAGGTCGAAAAGGGGGGAAAAAACATCAGGATAACCCCTGTGAAACAGTGAGAACAACTGCCTGAGTGCTTGAGGAGTCCCTGTGTGACAGACTGGGCCAGCCTTGAGCCAGACTGGGACTGGTGTTAAAGCTGCAGGACTGAACCTTTGGGTTGTTTAGGGATTTTAAGAGTCACACACAGATTTGTCTGTCACCAAAACCTCAGACTCTGAGTGATCAAACACTTCAGTGAAGGGCCCAAGGACAGCAAAACACTCCTAAGTTGTTTAGAAGTAAAATAAACAGTCAACTCATATTGTTACCAACTATGAACAAATAACAACAGACCCTTCAGTACAGAAACCACTGAACATTAAACTTAGACAAACCTGTTAGAAGCAAAAGTGCCTTAGTTACTACTGGTTAATTAAGTTTTTACTTGTACCTTCTGCTCAGGCCATCAATCTTTTCCCACAGTGAT